CTGAAACTCCAATACTTTGACCACCTGATGCGAAGAGCTGACTCATTGGAAAAGACCCTGATGTCGGGAAAGATTGAAGGTGGGAGAAGAAGGGGACAACAGAGGATGAGATGGTTGGATGGCATCACTGACTCGATGGACGTGAGTTTGAGTAAGCCCTGGGAGTTGGTGATGGACAGGGAAGCCTGGTGTGCTGCAGTCCATGGGGTCACAAAGAATCAGACATGACTGAGCGACTGAACTGAACTGAGTGGTTGGGAGTGGAGTTGATTGCATTTGTACCTCCAGAGTCTGTCATAGAGCCCAGCACTGACTGGGTACTTAGGAAATATTTATTGAATCAGTACTTGGAGGGTTGGTGGTGTAGTATTAGAGAAAGAGCCTGGCTTGAGAATCAGAGAGACATGATTTAAACTCTAGCCCTAGCTGTATGACCTTAAGTGACTTAGCCTCTCTGAGCCTATGATTTGCCATTTGTAAGAGAAAATAGTGGCACCTAACTTGAATGGTTGTTTGAGGATTAAGTGAAATGCTACGGGTTGGACCCAGTACACACTAGTTGCTTAATAAATGGGGAAATTGTTATAATACAGTTTTGAGGAATGATGAGCGATTGGGTATGAATAGAGGAATAGATGGGAGATGGAAGATGTGATTGTCAGAAAAGGAGGCTGAAGGTCATGAAGGAGCTTGAATGCTATGTTGAAGACCTAGGGTTTTCTTCTCTCTACAATGAGGAACTTCTGAGGAGCTCCATCTATGTGGTAAGATGAAGTTAAGACACGGGAAACCTCTTATCTCGGCTCTTTGGCAACCTCACTTATTGAGAATCCAGAACACACACTTACACACTTAATTTGGAAATTATTTCAAATTTACAGGAAATTTCTAGTCAAAAGAATACCATATCCTTTTTATCCTGAATCACCTGTTGTAAATCATCACATTTGCTTTATCATTTCCCCTCCCCCTGTGTATTATTTATTACTCCTGAACCATTTGTCAGTAAGTTGCATACATCATGATCCTTAACCTCTAATTATTTTAGAGCATATTTTTAAAGGAGAAGGATATCTTCTTACATAAGCATAACTGATAAACAGTTGCCAACTTCAGTAAATTTATCATTAACACAATACTTATTTCAAATATTGACTGAGTTGGCAGAAAAGTGGCCCTTAAAGATGGCCGTGTCCTAAATAAATTTGCACTGTTTCAAGCCACTAAATTTGTGATAATTTGTTATGGCAACAAACAAGCTAGCATTAACACTTTCATCGATGCTGATGGTATTTCAATTTTGTCAATTGACCCTATAATGTCCTTTATAACATTTGCTCCCTGTGGTCTGTGGTCACACATTGTGCTTCATTGTCATATCTTTTTAATTTCCTTTAACTGGATCAGAATTGGATCAGTTTCTTGGCATTTCGTTGTCTTTTATGACGATGACATTTTTGAAGATGCAGTCTGCCCACCCCTGCCTGCTCCTTTGTCAGTTGAACGTTTCTCCTTCTGGGTTTGTCTGATGTTTCCTTGTGATAGATTCAGGTGCCGCCCCCATGGCTGGGACACTGCATGAGTGATACTGTGTCCTTCTCAGGGTAACACCAGGGGGCACTCAATGTCCGTCATCGGTGGTGGCAGTTTTTTACCCTGGGTGCCACTGAGAAGTGGTCCATGTGGTGGGAAGTGTGAATTTGCATCAAGGTGGTCATCACTCAGCTAGGAGCTGGGCGTGAGGAGACACGTGATACCTAATGCCTGCCCTTGAGGACCACGTAGCCTCCCAGGAAGCTCCCAGTTGAATGGGAGGTGAAACAAGCAGACTCATTCATTCATTCCACACCACACACATTTACTGAGCGCCTGTGTGGGCTGGAACTGGGCTACAAAGGTGAGCTGGTGCTTACCTTCATGATGCTTACAGTCAAGCAGAGAGGACCACTGGTGAGAAGATTGCCGCGTCCCCAGCATCTAGACCAGTACCTGTCACATAGTACCAAGGGTTGACTGAATGAATTGCTGAACATCAGAGTAGCATCAATCTTTCGCTAGAGGCAGTGTTTTGTTCTGCTCCCTTAATAGGTGAAGAAATCGAGGCTCAGAGAAGGCAAACAGCCCTCAGTGGCCAATCAGGTGGCTTTGGGAATTTTAAGTCCTGATCTTCCTAAGCAGAACAGGTCAGCAAGCTGGAGTTTCCTGCCAGTGGGCAGCTGGGGGCTGGTTCATCTCAGAGGGCACCGTCTCCCCCTCCTTCCTGCTGCACTGCCTCCTCTCCCCATCCTGCTCTGAGGCCTGGGGCCCTGTGATTGGGCTTGTGGTTATTTAGTCAGTGATAATATTGGATTTACTTTCATCTCTGAATTGCATCAAATGTCGCCAGTGACATTTAGCCGACACACAAGGAGGAGGCTGGCATTTTTCGATTGTCAGCGTGTTACAGATGTAGAAGCGGATTGTGTCGGCGTCTGGTTTACTGTTAATTAGATGGAGCCTCAGTGAGCGGGTGGATAAGCCCTTCCATAGCTCGTGCTTCAGACTGCCTTCAAACCCCCTCCCAGAAATTAATGAGGCCCTGCCAGTTTCCCCACCGTGATGGGGAATTTGTTTCAGAAGTTTAGGGAGCAAGTGACAAAGTGAGTTGTTCTCCATCAGTGGGCCTCTTTTATATGTTCAGTTATGCACTGGCAGCTCACTGTCTTTCTCTTTAACCTGAAAGGAAAACAGTGACATTTGTATAGCAATTCATATGAACTCAACATTTATGCATCAATAATATTTACTGAATGCTTACTAGCTGTTTGACTCCAGGGTAGTTCCTTAACCTCTCTGCCTCAGTTTTCTCATCTGTCAATTGGGATAATAGTCCTACCTCCTAGGGTTGTTGTGAGAAGTTAATGTAAACATTCAAAGTGCTTAGAATAGTGTCTTGCACATAGGAGGCATCACATCCCTCTCTGCTACCACTATGAGTGTTTCTATTTTGTGACTAACGTGGTGGTGCTGAGGGGCTGGGGGCTTCCCAGGGGGCACTAGTGGTAAAGAACCTGCCTGCCAATGCGGGGCACATAAAAGACGAGGGTTCGATCCCTGGCTCAGGAAGATCCCCTGGAGGAGGTCATGGCAACCCACTCCAGTATTCTTGCCTGGAGAATCCCATGGACAGAGGAGCCTGGTGGGGTACAATCCGTGAGGTCACACAGAGTCGGACACGACTGAGCGACTCAGCACACACGCTGAGGGGATGTGCAGTGTGGGAAATGCTTCTCACGTAGTTTATAATCTGATGGACGAGGTGACCAACTCCTCAGAGTCCAGGACTGTGTTATTTCAAAATTCTTTGATTATAGGACTTGGACGTTCCATGATGTCATATATTTAAAAATAACTTTATTTATTATGTTTGGCTGTGCTGGGTCTTCATTGCCGCATGACTTTTCTCTCGTCGCGGTGAGCGGGGCCGACTCTAGTCGCGCGTGGGCTTCTCATCCTGGTGGCTTGTTTTGTTGCGGAACACAGGCTTCGGTGCAGAGGCTTCAGCAGTTGTGGCGTGCGGGCTCCACACTTGTGGCTCTCGGGCTCTAGAGCACGGGCTCAACAGTTACGGCCCGTGGGCGTAGTTGCCTCATGGCATGTGGGGTCCTGCCCAAGCCAAGGATGGAACCCCTGTCTCTTGTATTGGCAGGTAGATTCTTTACCACTGAGCCACCAGGGAAGCCCCTGATTTCATATTTTTAAGAGTCTCTAAAGTGATAGTCCTAACATTCTGTGGGTCTATGATTCTAAGGTTCTGTGATTCCTAAGCGCCAAGAGTTGATCTGAAGTGACAAACACGGGCTTGTTGTCTGCCAAACTGGTTTCCCTCTCCTCCTGAGCATGTAGACTATTTCTCTGGCCTCTCTCATTGTTCGGTGTGACCACGGGCTGAGCTCTGGCCAAAGAATATCAGTGGAAGGGATTAGAAAATGAGTGGAATCACACCCTGGGATTCCAACTTAAAAAATAACTGTGTGAACTTCACCAGAAGCTACAAAGGTAGCGGGGGTCAGGGAAGAGGGGCATCTGGAGCCCTGTCCTCTCTACACGGAGCACCTTCACTTTTTTCTCCATCTGGTAACTGGAGCTCCCAAGCTACCTCCTCTAGGTTACCCTCCTTCACGCCCCCAGAGTTAGCTGCTCATTCCTCTATGCCTCAGTTTCCTCATCTGTGAAAGGGGCACACTAAAGAATAATGAGATGTCGCAAATAGATGGAGAAAAAGTGGAAACAGTGACATACTTTTATTTTCTTGGGCTCCAAAATCACTGTGGATGGTGATTGCAGCCATGACATTAAAAGACACTTGCTCTTTGGAAGAAAAGATATGGCAAACCTAGATTGCCTATTAAAAAGCAGAGACATCACTTTGCCGACAAAGCTCCATATAGTCAAAGCTATTGTTTTTCCAGTGAAGAAGTGAAGTGAAGCCCCTCAGTCATGTCCGACTCTTTGCAACCCCATGGACTGTAGCCCACCAGACTCCTCCATCCATGGAATTTTCTAGGCAAGAGTACTGGAGTGGGTTGCCATTTCCTTCTCCAGGGGATCTTCCCAACCCAGGGATCGAACCCAGGTCTCCCTGCAGGCAGATGCTTTACCATCATGTACAAATGTGCAAGTTGGACCATACAGAAGGCTGAGTGCTAAAGAATTGATGCTTTTGAACTGTGGTGCTGGATAAGACTCTTGAGAGTCCCTTGGACTGCAACGAGATCCAACCTGTCAATCTGAAAGGAAATCAACCCTGAATATTCATTGGAAGGACTGATGCTGAAGCTGAAGCTCCAATACTTTGACCTCATGCAAAGAGCTGACTCATTGGAAAAGACCCTGATGCTGGGAAAGATTGAGGGCAGGAGGAGAAGAGGGCAACAGAGGATGAGATGGTTGGATGGCATCAACGACTAAGTGGCCATGAATTTGAGCAAACTCCAGGAGAGAGTGAGGACAGGGGAGCCTGGCGTGCTGCAGTCCATGGGTTCACAAAGAGCTGGACACGACTTAGCAACTGAACAACAACACAGAACATGCTGAGACCTGAGCCTGGCCCTAGCGAGCATCCCGGTCTATCAGAGCAACCCGGCTCTTGGGTTGGGTGTTGGCATTGGTATTAGGGTGGCTCACCAGGATTCCAGTCTTCACAGAGATGCACTGACCTTCTGGGAAAAAAGACCAAAGAAAACTTTGGCTTCCACACACCAGTGTTGGGGCAGACTGTCCTGGGACACTGGGAAGAGTGTCCAGGAGAGGCAGCAGCTGGGCTTGTCGTTGTCTTCAAAGGAAAGCACTTCTGAGCAGGGACCCTGAAGTGGCTTCCAACCAAGCCACTAATCTCAGCACTCCAAGCAAACACTAATCTCAGGTTCCTAAAAAGAGTGGCAAGGGTGCTTAGTAGAAACATAGAAATGAGAACTGGGGCAATCTGACTTTTTAAACTGGGCCCAGACAGTTTATACTTAAGGAAGCTGAAGTTCAGAGAGGGTGAGTTACTTCCCTGAAGTTGCACAGCATTAGCCAGCAGAGCTGGAGTTGGAACAGCAGTGTGCAGGCCTTTCCCTTGGTTTGGGGCAGGGCCCACGCGGACGAGGGCAGCAGAAGCAGGGGCCGAGAACTCCCAGCTGGCAGTGCTGGCGCCGGCAGCTGGTAAGCTCTGGATGTCATGGAACAGGAATCACGAGCCTCCCCAGGGACCAAGAGAAGCAGGCTGGGGCCTCCTGGGCGCCTCATTCTCTGTCTGGGGGACGGCCTTCCCCTCCAGTGGGCGTGGCCGAGGAGGCAGTGACGTCACAAGGGGTACCCGCTCCCTATGGCTCAGTGCTTGTTTGGAAGGGCCATGTACACTGCACACTTGCCCTAAGTAAATAACAAAGTAAAAAGGCAGGCTCTGTCACCCTGCCGCTCTGCAGTTCCCCTGAGTTTCGCTGTCCCTTGGAGCAGGAGGCTTCCAACTGAAGGATGTTTAGGTACTAATGGATTCTACTTGAGTTGCCTTCTAAACAGCAAACATCTTTGCAGCTGCATAAAATCTTCCCCAGGGGGTGGGGGGAGAGCGACGTGCTGGGCGGAGGTGGGCTTTACATGCTGTTATTTTTAGAACACTTGGCAGAAGGCCTTAGAGATTTGAGAGAGGTTTTTCAGGTTGGATATAATCTCAAAGAATGGAGAGAGGCTGAGAGGGACGGTAATTCTCTAATGGTTAAGCCTGAGATAAAAGGCTAAAATATTTATGTCGTCTTCGTCTTTTAAACCTGAGTTTTACAGGGATGAAACGTAGTGTCTTCCATTATGTACTGTCAACCTTAGGCAGCGCCCGGTCACAGCTGCTGTGACGTGCTGCAGACACTTAATTCTCTTGTTCACAGTTCGCAGCCTCACCCACTCGCTGACCCGGGTGTCTGTAGTCTCCTCAGTTGCCTGGTGTCAAAGCTGCCCTGAGTAACACAGGGCTCCGAGCAGTGGAAGGCCTGGTATGTTTGTTCCCCTCATGGTTGCTGTGAAGTCAGAAGACACATGGAAATTGATCTCTGATTAGTGGTGAGCTCATAAATAATCTCGGATATGTTCTGAGAACAGGGAAGGAAGTCAGGGGGAAGGCAGGCCAACCCAGGGCGGGGAGTTTATGGAGATAATGGGAGGTTATGGCCCCAGGCACGTGATTGGAGGCCGCCCTGCAGAGAGAAAGGCACCTGTTTTCCCCCGAGACGCACTGGGCTGTGGTCTCAGATCCGCCACTTTTGCCCATGAGGGTGGGAAAGTCAGTCACCCCTCTGAGCTTCAGTTTTCTTACTGGGGAGCAGGTAATAGTCCCTGCCTTACAGTGATGACATGAAATAAGGGATGTGAAGTCAACGGATGCGCGACAGGGCTGGTGTGTATCCCCTCTGGTGACAGCTGGGTTTGCTGCATTTCTCTATTTTCTTTCTCTCCCCGTGTGCTACTGACAGCGCTCAGCGGAACGAAGACTCTGCGGGGGAGGGGGGAGGATATTATGACTCCCGTTTTCCTACCAAACATCTGACATTTTCAAAGTTTGGGATGTTGTGGTGGAGACTATTTCTTATCAGAAGTAATTTCTCAGTTGTAGATTAAAACTTCAAAGATTCAGTCCTTGGTCCTTGGCTCCCAGCGGGTCCTCAGTAACTCTCTGGGGTGGAATGTTGACGATCAAGCCTCTGTCCTCCAGGGCTTCATATCACACGGGAAACATACTGACCACCTGTCCCTGGAAGTGGCGGAGCAGATAATAAAGCACTTTGCGCTTGGAGTGGGCTTGAGTTTTCTCAACTGAGGTTCTGCCCAAAATGCCAGGATACACTGAGTAGAGAGGGACTGACTGATGGTCTGGGAAGTCAGGAAGGCTTCATAGAGGAGGTGACGTGAGCTGGGTCTGACAGCAGCTCTGCAACTCCTAGGGATGAATGGTGCTTCAGATGGACAGAGTTAACCCCTGTCCCCCACCCCCTCCCCCTACGGAGAGGGGAGGATGCTGCTTATCACTGTATCAATTAGCATTTATTGAGCACTTAGTATGTCCCTGGCACTGGAGGTGCTTTCCACATATTAACTCCCTTCATATCCATCAAGTTTATGAGGTAGCTGCTGGCTATCTATTCCCTGCTCTAGAGATGAGGAAATTGATGGCCACAGAGGCTAAATAACTTCCCAAAGGTCACCTACCAACAGTGGCAAGCATCTCTTGTCTCCCCTTCCTCTGATCCAGCTCACTGCCTTATTTGGTATCCGCCCACAGATTTGTTATATGATAGGGCCAGAGTGAGCCACTAATTTGGAAATCACTGTTCAGCTGGGAATGGGGCGGGGTGGGGAGAAGAAATCGAATGTGATGACAAGATGGAAAATTAGAGGTGGCTAAAATTAAGTGATATTACTCACATACCACAGGCGTACTCCCACACCTGGCTTTCATCCTGTTTTCTTCCCTTTCTTCCCGTCGGGTCTTTAGTAGAACTGGGCACAGGTCGCTGGTGATAAGAAACCGAAGAGAATTACAGTGTCCAGAGCGGCCTCCCTGCTGACGCTGGTCTGGGAGGTGGCACCGGCTCCCGGATGCAGCCGCCGCTTTAATTTCCGCCTTCCTTCTGTGTCTCTCTTTTGAGGCTTGACTTTAAATGAAAAAATTTCCCCTTGCTTGCTGAAGGCACTGGGGATCAGGAAGTTTGTCTGAAGGGGTGGAGGCTGTGGGATGGAGTGGGGGTGAGGGGGGAATGAATGGTGGGGGGGTGAGAAGGGAAAGAGGAGGGAAGGGGGTGTGAGATGGTGGTGCTCTGGGGACCCTCTTCTCCCTGCCTCTCTGCCTGCCTCTGGGGTTCCGAAGGTGGGGATTGTCGTTCAGGTCCACAAATCTCAGTGCGCTGGAAAAGGCCTGGTGTTGGCCAGGAGGAGGCAACTTGTGTGGGTGTGAGCAGAGTTGTGGCTGCTCATGGAGTGTGTTGAAGTGAGCTCAGGACAGGCTCAGTGAAGAGGCTGGGGGCATGGTCAGTGACTGTGGGTGAAGCTCAGTCTTGAAATCCAGAGAAGGGATGGCTCTGGGGTGCGGTGGGCAGTGTTGCGGTTGATGCCAGTAGATCTGTATATCTTCCCTTGTGGTCAGCTAGTTAAGAATCCACCTGAAGTGTGGAAGACCTGCGTTCGATCCCTGGGTTGGGAATATCCCTTGGAGAAGGGAATGGCTACCCACTCCAGTATTCTGGCCTGGAGAATTCCATGGACTGTATGGACTGTATGGGGTTGCAAAGAGTCGGACATGACTGAGTGACATTCACAGATCTGTATTCGGGCTTCCCAGGTGGTGCTAGAGGTAAAGAACCCACCAGCCAATGCAGGAGACATGAGATGTGAATTTGATCCCTGAGTCAGGAAGATGCCCTGGAGGAGGGCAAGGCAACCCACTCCAGTATCCTTGCCTGGAGAATCCCATGGACAGAGGAGCCTGGCAGGCTGCAGTCCATAAGGTTGCACAGAGTTGGATGTGACAGAAGTGACTTAGCATGCATGCATGCATGCAGACCTGTATTCAAATCCCAGCTTCTACCACCCCCCAGCTGCGTGACCTGGGCGAGACTCCAACCTCTCTGCACCTCAGCTTCCTTGAGGGCTGCTGTGAGGTTTACATGACACAAATTATATGACTAACCTGGCTCATGCAAGTTCCTTGCTTTCTCTCTACTGAGTATTAACTACTTGCGTGACTCTGGGCATGTCATATCACTTCTCCAAATCTCAATTTCTTGATAAAATGGGGTAACTAATGGACTGCCTCTTGCACCTACCTCACCAGGTCAGTGCATGGATGAAATGATACAAGGAGTACTTAAAAATCTATGAAAACTGCAAAGAGCTGACGGATAGGAGCAGTAATTGAGGTACTGGTTGTGTGGCTTTTGTCTGGAATCGTCCTCGGTGCTGGGGTCATAGAGCCATGGGACTGGGCTTACTGTTGCTTGACTCTGTCCCTGAAAATCTTCAGGTTTAAAGAACAGAAGAACTACTGTGTGGCAAGGGAGGCTTCTGGGGTACTGTCATGCTCTGTATTTTGATCTGGGAGCTAGCTAGACGGGCAGTGGGCTTTGTGAAAATTCACCAAGCTGCATAGTTATGATTAGTGCACTTTCTGTATCTATTTTATACATCAACAAAACACTTTTACTTAAAAATAGTTGTGTGTGCTGATTGCATTATTTATGTAATTATTGGAGTATAATAGGTTTATAATGTTGTGTTAGTTTCTGCTGTTCGATTGCATTTTTAATGATATTAATAATTGTTAAAATTTTAAGGTAGGCTAAGGGATTTGTTTAAAACAAAGAATTCTTACTTTTTAAGGCACATGTTGAAATGTTTATGGATGAAGTGAACGGAATTTGATTAAAAAAAAAACCCTCAACAATGAGGGGATGGTGGGGAGAGGGAGCTCATAGAAATGTAGATGAATCAAGACTGGCCAAAGGTTGATAACTGATGAAGCTGGAACATAGGTTCATGAATGCTTACTATACTCCCCATTTTTGTATATTAAAAAAATGTCCATAATAAAAATGTTTTTAAAATATTGAGAATTTTGTATAGATCATGACCAAGTGATATTTATCCCAGGCCTGCAAGGCTGGCTCAACACTTGAAAATTAATTAATGTTATGAAAGTGAAAGTTGCTCAGTCATGTCTGACTCTTTGCAACCCAATGGACTATGCAGTCCATGGAATTCTCCAGGCCAGAATACTGGAGTGGGTAGCTAGTCCCTTCTCCAGGGGATCTTTCCAACTCAGGGATGGAAATGTGGTCTCCCACATTGCAGGTGGATTCTTTACCAGCTGAGCCACCAGGGAAGCCCTAATGGGCATAGATGCAAAAATTCTCAACAAAATGTCATCAAATTGAATGATCATACACCATGATCAAATGGGATTTATTTCAGGAATGCAAGGATAGTTCAACATATTCAAATCAATAAATTTCATACACCATATTAATAAAAATCTTATGTTGTTGTTGTTGTTCAGTCGCCAAGCAATGTCCGACTCTTTGCGATCCCATAGATTGTAGCATGTCAGGGTTCCCTGTCCTTCACTATCTTCTGGAATTTGCTCAAACTCAAGTCCATTTAGTCGGTGACGCTATCCAACCATTTTATCCTCTGACACTCTCTTCTCCTTTTGCTTTCAATCTTTCCCAGCATCAGAGTCTTTTCCAATGATTTAGCTCTTTGCATGAGGTCAAAGTATTGGAGCTTCAGCTTCAGCATCAGTCCTTCCAATGAATATTCAGGGTTGATTTCCTTTAGGATTGACTGGTTTGATCTCCTTGCANGATTTAGCTCTTTGCATGAGGTCAAAGTATTGGAGCTTCAGCTTCAGCATCAGTCCTTCCAATGAATATTCAGGGTTGATTTCCTTTAGGATTGACTGGTTTGATCTCCTTGCAGTCCAAGGAACTTGGAAGAGTCTTCTCCAGCACCACAGTGTGAGAGCATCAATTCTTTGGCACTCAGCCTTCTTTATGGTCCAACTCTCACATCTGTACATGACTATTGGAAAAACTGTTACATTTGACTAGATGGACCTTTGTTGACAAAGAGATGTCTCTGCTTTGTAACATGCTGTCTAGGTTTTTCATAGCTTTCCTTCCAGGGGCAAGTATCTATCAATAAATTAGGTATAGATAGAATGTATCTCAACATAATAAAAGCCATCTATAACAAATTCAAGCTACAGTGAACATGGAGTGAAGATATCTCTTTGAGATAGTGATTGGTATCCTTTGAATATATATCCAGAAACGGGATTGCTGGATCAGATGGTGATGTTGGTTAGTCTCTAAGTTGTGTCCAAATCTTTTGCAACCCCATGGACTGTAGCCCACCAGGCTCCTCCATTCATGGGATTTCCCAGGCAAGAATACTGGAGTGGGTTGCCATTTCCTTCTCCAGGGGATCTTCTGAACCCAGGGATTGACTGAGCCTGCGTCTCCTGCATTCTTTACTACTGAGCTGCTAGGGAAGCCCCAGGAGCAACGGCAGTTCTGTCGTTAATTTCTTTAGAATCTTGGCTGTTCTCCGTAGTGGGTGTACTAGTTTACATTCCTACCAGCTATGCACAAGGGTTTCCTTTTTTCCACATGCTTGCTAACATTCATTATTTCTTGTCTTTTTTGATAATAGTCATCCTAATATTCATGAAGTGATATCTCCCTCTGATTTCGACTTGTATTTCCCTGATGATTGGTGATGTTGAGCACCTTTTCATGTAGCTGTTGGCCATTTGTACTTCTTCTTTGGAAAAATGTCTATTCATAACCTTTGCCCATTAAAAAATTGGGTTATGTTTTTCTTTTTTTAGTGTTGAAGTTGTATGAGTTCCTTGTGTATTTTGCATATTAGCCCTTTATCAGATATGTGGTTTGCTATGCGTAAGCTTTTTAGTTTGATGTAGTCCCATTTGTTTATTTTTGCTTTTGTTGCCTTTGCTTTTGGTGTCAACAACTCGTTGTCAGGGAGCTTTCCCTTTATGTTTTCTTCTAGGAATTTTATGGCTTCAGGTCTTATATTCAAGTCATTAATCCATTTTAAGTTGATTTTGTGTGTGGTGTAAGATAATGGTCCCATTCATTCTTTTGAACATGTATGTCCTGTTTTCTCAACACCATTTATTAAAGACACTGTCCTTTCCCCATTATGTATTCTTAGCTCCTTTGTTAAAAATTAATTTGACTATATTGCATGGATTTATATTATCTCATGTAATCCTCA